AGGGATGCCGGCGCGTTCCTGGCGGGGAGCAGCCAGTCCGAGAGGACGGTGGAGCTCGCGCTCGCCATGAGCTCCGATCGCGAGGGCATGTTGTCATTCGCCTCGAATGTGAGGGCAGCGCTGACGGCCCTGTGCCAGGCGAAGGACGCACGGGAGTCCTCGCCCCTGCTGGAGGCGGCCCTGGCGCAGAGTCGTCTGGACATCGGGGGCCTTGTAGCGCTTGTGCAGGAGATCTGGGAGCTGCACGCCTATTTCGTGTTCCTCGACGTCAAGGGCGACCAAGCTCTTCTGGAGACGGCGGCGGCACAGCTCTGCCGAGCCCTCCGGTGTACAGCGGAGGACCTGGTCCTCGGCTTGGCGCGCACGGGGCACTGGGTAGAGCAGGCCCTTGGCATGCTCTCAGAGCAGGCGTGCGGCGAGATGCTTCAGCGGTGTCACGCGAGGGCGCTGCAGCAGTGGCGAGCAGCATGGGCGGAGCGTGTGCAGAGTTCGCAGGATCTGCAGCCGCAGCATATGTTCGGTGCCAGTGGTGGGAAGCAGGAAGAGCTGTTTTGGGCGAGCTGCTTTCAGCAACGAGGGTCGGTCACGTGGGCAGTCTTCCTGGACGGGTTCGAGCGTTTCCATCTGCGCGGCAGGTGCCCCGCGGACATCGCCGATCAGCTTCGTGCCGAGCTCGGTCCAGATCTCGTGCACGTTGTGCGGCGCTCGGATTGGCACGCCTTTGTCAAGGAGCACGGCGACGCCGCCAGCCTCGTCGACTGTCTTCTGAGCAAGGTGCTAGCCGACATCGCCGACAGAGTCTATCGCAGCCAGCCTCTGGACGCGGGGCTGCTCGTGGGGGAGGCCGAGCGCGACTGGGGTCAGGTGGAGCCGTTCCCGCAGGCTTCGATCGTCACGCCCCTGGATCCTGGTGGCACCTGCCTGCCCATCGAGGTCGGGGGCAACGATGATGGGGGGATGGGCATCGGGGGGGACGTATCGGCCCCCAATCGCCCACTGATCCCCGATAGGGGCCCGAGAGCCCCACCCCGCGCTGGAAGCTGCGGATCTACTATCGGGGGCCCATTGCCGGTCCATCGACGACGCATCGCCGATTCCAGGTCGACGCGTCCCCCCTGTGCCCACCCCCCCTCGTCGTTGCCCCTCACGAGGAGGGCAAGCACGTCACCTGGGACGCCTTCTGCAGGCAGCTCGCCGAGAGAACGCCCTGCTGGTGGAGGTCGGCGGCGCGCGGAAGGGGGTGGGGGGAGGGGGGAGGGCTTCTTAGAAGCGCCCCTGCTTCTTAGAAGGCGCTGGCCTTATCTATAGATGTAAGGCCGGCGCCTTCTAAGAAGCAGCCTCCTTCTAAGAAGCCTTCCCCCCTCCCCCTACCCCCTTGTGCTCGCCGCCAAGAAGGGCGGGCGGCGGGCCGGCGCCGCACCAGCGGGCGCTGCAGGCCCGGGCCTTTGCGGCGGTGAGCAGCGGCCTGGCGTGCACGCGCCGGGCGCTGGTGCTGAGGGCGGTGAGCGGCAGTCTCGCGAGCGGCGGGTCGTCAGCATCGTTGAACCGATCCCCATCCCCATCCCCATCCTCCTCCTCCTCCTCCTCCTCCTCCTCCTCCTCCTCCTCCTCCTCCTCCTCTTCGAGACCCCCACCAAATTACCACCCCAGTTGGGGGTACACCCCTCGAACTCCGAAGGGGCCGGCCTATGTCCCCATCTCGGGGGGTAACTCGGCCATCAGGGCCCAGGCCACGCCGCTGGGGATGGGGATCAGTTCAACGATACTCAGGTCGGCGCGTGCGCCAGGAGCACCTGAGCGGGCTGCCGCTCCCATCGAAGACCAGAAGGAGGCTGCGGAGCTCCCGGCCGTAGTAGTCACGGCCAACGTCGGACAGCCGAGTGGAGTGGCGCAGGTGCTGGATTTGTCAATGAACGTCCCCATCGCCTTGCGCTCGCACTTCGACGTCGTCTACGAGCCCACCACCGACCGCTACTCCATCATGGATGTTGGCTCAAAGTGGGGCACCTTTGTGAAGGTCACTGGCCAGCTCTGCCTAAGTTGTGGAGACTGGATCCGTCTTGGTAACGTCGAGCTTGTGATCCGCTGCTGCGGAGGCGGCTGCGCCAACCACCGATGTCACGCTAACACGGTAGGTTCGCTGCGGAAGTTCGGCAGGCACCGTTCCAGTCCCGAGAGCGCCAGCGCCGAGTGGTGTTGCGACGCGCGAGAGGCGGAGGAAGTTCTGCCGAGAGGGCTTGGCAGCGTCCGAGCGCCAGGCTGGCATACGCGCTCGGAGCAGATCACTGTGCCGCCCCTTGAGATCGTGTTCGTCACAGGTTGGCGGCGCGCACAAGGGGGTGGCGCGAGGGGTGGGAGGGGCAGCCTTCTAAGCAGAGGGGAGGCCTCTTAGAAGACGGGTGCCCTCGCAGACGTGCCCGGAGGCTTCCAAGAAGGCCTCCCCGAAGCTGGATTGGCTTCCGAGCAGCCCCACCGGGTCTTTCGAAGGTGGCCCTCCTTCGCGCCAGCCCCTCGTGCGCGAGCCGCCGGAGGCCCGCGCATGGGCGAGAAGCTCGTCCTGACGAAGCGGGTGAACACCATGGGCCGCAGCAACACGGCGACAGTGCAGATCACCGACGCAGTCTTGACCAACATCTCCAGGGTTCACTGCGTTTTCGAGTGCATCGGAGGCCTGTGGCACCTCCGCGACAACGGCTCCACCAACGGGACCTGGCAGCGCCTCTCCTGCGTGCTGCAGCCGTCTGCGCCGAAGCCCCTGTCTGCCGGCATGTCGGTGCTGGCTGGCGCGCTCGAGTTCCTGGTCGAGGAGGGGGAGGGGGAGGAGAGGGGGGAGGGGTCAGGAGGAGGAGGATGAGGAGGAGGGAAGGAAGGGGACGTCGAGGAGGAGGAGGAAGAGGAGGAGGAGGAGGAGGGAAGGAAGGGGACGACGAGGAGGAAGAGGAGGAGCAGGAGGAGGAGGAGGAGGAGGAAGAGGAGGAGAAGGAGAGGGATGAGGAGATATTGGAGGGGATGGAGGAGCGGAGGGAGGAGGAGGACGAGGATGAGGACGAGGACGAGGAGGATGTTTCGACATCAACTGGTCTGCCAAGACGTACTCTCCGGGGGGACGGCGCCTCCCCGCAGAGGGAAGGGGCAGGGCTGGGCGGTGCTGCCACGTTCGCTACCAGCCTGCCCCGCGCCCACGATCCAGGAGGAGGCGGAGGAGGAGGAGGCGGAGGAGGAGGAGCAGGAGGGGGAGGAGGAGGGGGGGGGGAGGGGAGGAGGGGGAGGAGGTGGAGGAAGGAGGGGAGGAGGAGGATAGGAGGAGGACCGAGGAGGAAGAGGAGGACCGAGGAGGAGGAGGAAGGAGGGAGGAGGAGGAGGAAAAAGAAACATAGAAAACGAAGAAGGCGAAACAATAATAATAATACTATGAAGAAGAACAACCATAGTAGTAGTAACAATAATACTAAGATAATAATAATAATACTAACAACAATGATAAACTTAAGACTAATAAGAAGAAGACGAAATAGAAGAGGAGGAGGAGGAGGCAAGGAGGAGGAGGGGGATGATGATGAAGAGGAGGAGGAGGAGGGGGGAGGAGGAGGAGAGCAAGAGGAGCAGAGGAGCAGGAGAGCAGGAGTGGGGGAGGAGGAGGGAGAGGAGGAGGGAGGAGGAGGAGGAGGAGAGGATGAGGAGGAGGAGGAGGAGGAGAGGAGGAGGGAGGAGGAAAGGGGAGGGGAGGGGGGAGGGGGAGGGGAATGGGGGGGGAGGAGGAGGAGGAGGAGGAGGAGGAGGAGGAGGAGGAGAGGAGAGGAGGAGGAGGAGAGAGAGGAGGGGAGGAGGAGAGGAAGTAGAGAGGAGGATAGAGAGAGAGAGAGAGAGAGGGAGGCGAGGGAGTGCGCGCCTTCCCCCAGAGGCGGGGCGCCTGACACACGGGCAGGAGGGAATGCGCGCGTGCGCACAGGAGACGCGCGTGCAACAGCGGGTGCAAGGGTCGCCTTGAGCCTCTGTCAAACGAGACTAAGCCTCATCTCGTCCCCCAAGGCTAGGGGCCTGTGGCCCTCGGCGGGGAAACCCGACCCGAGCATCATGAACCAACAACGGCATCCTGTAAGAAGACGAGCCAGCATCTGCACGGCTTCCCCCTGAGGCGGGGTGCCTGACATGCGTGCGAGCAACACCCAGCGCGCGCGCGAAAGCGAAACGCAATGTCAAGCCAACAGGCGACGCCAGGACGACGAGGCTGACCACTCCAGCCTCGCCCCTGGCGTGGGCCACTCTAGCCACAGAGGGTGCCAGGGTCGCCTTGAGCCGACTTCAAGCGCGACCTGAGGCCCCGTCTCGTCCCACAAGGCTAGGGGCCTGACAGGCCCTCGGCGGGAGCCCGATCCCGACCCGAGTATCTTGAAACCAGAGGCTTGAAGCGTACACGAAGGGCCACGAGGCCACCGAGAGGAGGCGCCACAGCACACGAACAGTGCAGCCTCCACATGTGCTTGCACTCCGCGCCGTGCACTTCCTAGTGTTGATCTTCACGCGCATGAGAGCTGGTATATCCAGCGAAGAGGAGCGACGTGCTGCGGAGCCGCACGGACCGCTTACGGCTGCCGTACTGCCGCGGGGAAGGCCTCCGAACACCAGTGGGCCCCGAGCTGCGGCAGGTTTCCCCGTGCGTGGGCAGCGTGTCGTCGTCGTCCCAGTCGTCGAAGGCTGGACCAGCCCCACCCACAGGGCCATCTACCGTGGGGGGGGGGGCCCCACGGTGAGAAACCTATCCGCGCCCACGGCCTCCTTCTTGTCACGAGCATCATGACTGTCATGGCTACGATGGTCGCCGTGAGCCCCGCAGACGTGATCGCCATGGTCACGATCGCTGGCGTGTTCTGAGCCAGAAGCTCTTCTACTGAGAACTCAACAATGTTGATCACACTCTTGCTGATCGCCATCTGGTACAATATCGCAGACAAATTCTGGACCATCAGCTTTGCCCGCCATTGTTCGAACAGCAGCCGTGCCACCAACACCCACAAAGGACCAGAACCTGCACGAGGTAGATCCGCAGGAGCCTGCACCCCTTGATGGCCTCCGGCTGGAGAAATTGTGGTTCCTTTGTGTCTGCGCCATGTAGAAGAGGACTGGGCCGACCACTAACTATATCATAAGGGACTGCTGCTGAATTCATCCGGTGCGTTACGGGGATATCGCGGAACCTCGCGGCTTCTGCAGGTTCTTCCAGGATGTCCCAGACACCAGGAAAAGAAGCTGAGCTTACAACGTCGCATTGCTTCTCGCCCACTGCTACTTCCCCGAGCCCGCAACCAGGAACAAATACAGAAGCACCTGGATTCATTTGCGTAGCTACCACGCGGCCAAGACGCGGCCCACGCTGTGCACCTCGCAGTTGTTCAGCCGATGCCGAAGAAAGGCGAAAACCACAGCCTCCACGAGCATGTATGGCTGCGTTCCGCCTGAGCACATCCAGGTGCTCCGGGGCCTGCTCGGGCAGACGGGCGGACAAGGCCGGGACGATCGCAAGGAGCCTGTCCCAGAGCGCGCCGTTGCCAAAGAACTCCGAGAGCGACGACTGCACCTCATTGACCTGGGAACGGGAGCGCTGCAGCTCAAGCGACAGCTTCCTGATCACCCTGTCCACACTCTCCTTGGCCCTCTCCCGCCGCGCTCGCCGTTCAGCGGAGGAGGAGGAGGAGGAGGAGGAGGAGGAGGAGGAGGCGGAGGAGGAGGAGGAGGAGGAGGAGAGGGAGGAGGAGGGCCCTGTTGGTCGAGGAGACGGAGCTGACACGCTAGCGGATGCCATCCTGACCCGTTTCTCGAGGCGGATCCGGCCGTGGCGTCGAGGAGCCATTAAGACAGAGAAACGCCAGTGGCCGTGGCCAAGAGAGAAGGGCACAGAACCACGCCGGGGAGGGCCGCTGGTGTCTCGACTGGTCCTCCTACCCCAGACGCCCGACGACGTGCCTTTTCCAGGGCAAGGCCTCGAGGAGATCCTGACCCCCTCCCAGGGGGTGCTGCTGTTTCGTTCCCGACTCCTTCCTGGTGGCCCGGTGGCCCGACGACGGCCACCGTCGAAGCACAGCTCCGCGACTGAAAAAGCACATCGTCCGAGGCCTGGGCTCCGACCCGACGGTTCCGGCACCCCCAGACAGGGCTCGTTTCGATTCCTCCGATTCGGTCCGATTCGATTCCGATGGCTTCCGATTCCGATCCGATTCGACATCGGATTTCGATTCGGGCCACGATTTCTCGCTGGAGGCCTGTCAGCCTGCCGAGTTCTGCCGATTCGACGTTTCCCGACTCGGCTGCCGATTCCCGCCGATCCGAATCATGTCGATCGCCGATCCGACTTGTCGATTCGATTCTGGGCTCTCCTGCCCCCAGAGCGCTCTCTTGGACGCCCGAAATGGGTATGCGGAAAACATGGGAACGATGCCCAACAGCAAATGTTGTCCCAAGCCGACAGCGGCCGCTGTTGGGCAGGCGACCTTCTGTCTCAAGAGGACAGCGTCCGCGGCGGCGCGAGCAGCGAGTCCTGCTCAAAATGAGCAGGAACTGCGGTTGGGCATCGCACCCATTCTTTCCGCACCCCTTTCGATCGTACCGAGCTCTGGGCGAGGCGCAGCTGCTGGAGAGCGCCCCAAGGCGAGAAACCCGCCAAAGGCCGGCGACACATCCCGAAAACTTCCCCAGACATCCGGCCGCTCCCATGCTGTCCATGCGTGGGCCCCAGAGGTCTGGACCACTTCCCCAGGGGCCGGTTCTTCGTCCCGAGTCGTTGTTTGACGCTCCCGAGGCCCAGCGAGGGCCCGTGGAGGCCACAAATGGCCAAAGACCCGCCGCTCCGATTTTTTGGAGCGTCGGATCTCGGGGTCACCTTTACATCGGGACCGGGAGGAGGAGGAGGACGAGGACGAGGAGGAGGAATGACGCTCCAAACTCGGGGGAGGAGGAGGAGGAGGAGGAGGAGGAGGAGGAGGAGGAGGAGGAGGAGTAGGACTAGGAGTCAAGCTAGCCAGCTCGAGCGAGTCAAGCATGGCATGCCCATTCCCATCCGCCCTCCCACAACGTAAGAAACAGTGCTGGCGCAACTGGGGACCGAAACCTGATCAGCGAGGAGATTTGCGACAGCTGATGCAGCCGCGATGGCGGCTACCGATGGGGAATTCCTGGCGCATCTCAAAGACTGCGCTGGCATTTCAGCACGAGCCGAGGAGGCCCCAGGAAGCCTCAGGAGGCCCCAGGAGGCCTCCAGAGGCCCCGGGAGGTTGCAAGAAGAGCCCCAGCGAACCCCAGGAAGCCCCAGGAGGCTTCAGGAGGGCCCAGGAAGCCCCAGGAGGTTCCAGGAGGCTTCAGGAAGCCCTGGGAGGGGTGTCAAGAAGCCCCGGGGAATCCCAGGAAACCCCAGAATGCTTCAGGAGGCCCCAGGAGGATCCACGACGCCCTGGGGTAGCCCCGGGAAGCCCCAGGATGTTCCAGGACACCCTGGGAGGCCCCCGGGGGCCCTAGGCGCTCGACGACTTGGCGAGCGAAACATGTGCGCCGCGCCTTAGCGGGAGCGCAACTGTCAGAAAACATGCGCGCGGCGCCGAAGCGAGAGCGACATTTCGCCCTCTCGCGCGCGATGTGCACCGCGCCCCATTCCTGCCACGCATTTCGCAAAGCCGACGACAAGAAAGTCCTCACTGAGCAGAATCATGTCGACTTTGCATTGGTTTTCGATGGGTAGAAGGGCCACTCCCGCGCGGGGTTGCTATCGGCCCGACAGAGGGGGGAGTAAGAGCATATTCGAATAAGCAATCCGGATTGGAGTAGGAGTAGGAGTACGAGGGGGGAGGAGGAGGAATAGTATTCGTAGCCGTAGTCGTAGTAGTCGTAGTAGTCGTAGTAGTCGTAGTAGTCGTAGTAGTCGTAGTAGTCGTAGTAGTCGTAGTAGTAGTAGTAGTAGTAGTAGTAGTAGTAGTAGTAGTAGTAGTAGTGAAAGCCGTAGTAATAGTAGTAGTAGTAGTAGTAGTAGTAGTAGTAGTCGTCGTAGTCGTAGTCGTAGTCGTAGTCGTAGTCGTAGTCGTAGTCGTAGTCGTAGTCGTAGTCGTAATCGTAGCAGTAGTAGTAGTAGTAGTAGTAGCAGCAGTAGTAGCAGTAGTAGTAGTAGTAGTAGTAGTAGTAGTAGTAGTAGTAGTAGTAGTAGTAGTAGTAGTAGTAGGGAAAGAGTAGGAGTAGGAGTAGGAGTAGTAGTCGTCGTAGTAGTCGTCGTAGTAGTAGTAGTAGTAGTAGTAAGTAGTAGTAAGTCAGTAGTAGTAGTAGTAAGTAGTAGTAGTATAGTAGTAAGTAGTAGTAGTATTAGTAGGGTAGTATGTAGTAGTCGTCGTAGTAGGAGTAGTAGTAGTAGTCGTAGTGGTAGTAGTAGTAGTAGTAGTAGTAGTAGTTAGTTGTAGTTGTAGTAGTAGCAGTAGCAGTAGCTGTAAGCAGTAGCAGCAGCAGCAGTAGCAGTAGCAGTAGCAGTAGCAGTAGCAGTAGCAGTAGCAGTAGCAGTAGCAGTAGTAGTAGTAGTAGTAGTAGTTGTAGTTGTAGTTGCAGCAGCAGTAGTAGTAGTAGCAGTAGCAGTAGCAGAAGCAGTAGTAGTAGTATCAGTAGTAGTAGTAGTAGTAGTAGTAGTAGTAGTGATAGGAATAGTAGCAGTAACAGTAGCAGTGTTACTGGTAGTAGTAAGATTAATCGTAGCCAGTAGTAGTAATAGTTGGTTGAGCCATCGTAGTCGTAGAAGCAGTAGTAGTAATAGTAGTAGTAGTAGTAGCAGTAGTAGTTTCAGTGGTAGTAGTAGTTGTTGTTGTAGTCGTGGTAGCGGTAGTAGTCGTAATATTCACAGTAGTAGTAGTTGCAGTCGTCGTCGACGTAGTAGTGGTCGTAGTCGTAGTCGCATTTGTACTCGTGGTCGAAGTCGTAGTCGTAGTCATAGCCGTAGTCGTTGACGTAGCCGTAGTCTTAGTAGTAGTAGTAACAGTAATAGAAGTCGAAGTCGTGATAGTAGTAGTAGTAGTAGTAGTAGTAGGAGTAGTAGTAGTAGTAGTAGTAGTACTAGTACTAGTAGTAGTAGTAGTAGTAGTAGTAGTAGTAGTAGTAGTAGTAGTACTAGTAGTTGTCGTAGTAGTAGTAGTAGTAGTAGTAGTAGTAGTCGTCGTCGTAGTCGTAATAGTCGTAGTGGTACTAGTAGTAGTAGTAGTAGTAGTAGTAGTAGTCGTCGTCGAGGTCGTCGTCGTCGACGTAGTCGTAGTCGTACTTGTTGTAGTAGCAGTAGCAGTGGCAGTAATAGGAGTAGTAGT